TGTTAGGATAGGACAATGTTTGGCCGAGATACAATTATTTGAAAATCTGGAATCTGAGGGTGCTAAAAAATCTAAATATTGAGAAAATCATCTTTAAAGTTGTTCAAATGAAGTTCTTAGCAATGCGTATTACTAATCAAAAATTAAGTTTTGATAGATTTACGGTAGGAGATTTACAAAATATCTTCATGGAACATGATCTTTACTTAATATCCTAATGATTTTTGGCATAAAAGAAAAATCTATAATTTTGACCCATACAATGTATTGTTGGCTATTGCTACAAATATACCCCAGCGACTTAACACTGCTTTTGTGCTCCAGGGACACATATTTTATTTTATACATATATTTTTAAGTAATTAATTTTTTTATAGTTGTAGTTTTAGTTAACAATGATAAAATAAGAATGCTTAGATACTTGTAAAACAAGACAAAAGCACTGAGTAAGAACACAGAAAGTAGAGTTCATCACTGTATTATTCTGAGAACTGATCGTGGCTTTCTTCGCCGAGACTCTGGTGTGTGTTTGTACCTGGTTCTCAGGAGTCAAGCGCGGAGCGGAGCTCTGGTTCCTCGACAGATGCTGATGATAGTGAATCATGTGTTGATTCTGCTGACTGTTATTTGACATTTCTGCCATTCGCCGCTCCATCTGCTCCAAACGCTCCAGAATCGACATCCTGAACTGGTTATCTAGAGAGAGCATCACAGAACATTCACAACCTGATTCATCACAGTAATGTGACGCAATTCTGAAGGAATGAGAAGAATTGCATGAGAGATTAAACTGAATAAATGGACGTTCTCTCCTAGAATACAGCGGGAGCTCAGAGTGAGTTTGCTGAAGCAACTATACTGGGAAAAAACTAGAGCAAATCTTTACTTATAAATTGCTAGTGAATTTCACAAATAATTACAAAGAAACAGCAAGTTGAATTACACATTGAATTAACTTGAAAATTTTAAGTAGAAAAACTGAAATAAACTTGTGTTTTTGTCATTATTTAATAAAGTCTATATAAGTTTTAGTTTATTTAGATATTTCAGTTATTTTTGTACTTCCACTTAAACTAAAGGAAAATGACAAATGTTGTCTTGGCACCATTTATATATACATATATATATACAGTGGGTACGGAAAGTATTCAGACCCCCTTAAATTTTTCACTCTTTGTTATATTGCAGCCATTTGCTAAAATCATTTAAGTTAATTTTTTTTCCTCATTAATGTACACACGGAGGAATGGCGGAGGATCCCCAAATCCAGGTGTGAAAGACTTGTTGCATCTTTCCCAAAAAGACTCATGGCTGTATTAGATCAAATGGGTGCTTCTACTAAATACTGAGCATTTTTCAGTTTTTCTTTTTTAATAAATCTGCAAAGATGTCAACAATTCTGTGTTTTTCTGTCAATATGGGGTGCTGTGTGTACATTAATGAGGAAAAAAAATTAACTTAAATGATTTTAGCAAATGGCTGCAATATAACAAAGAGTGAAAAATTTAAGGGGGTCTGAATACTTTCCGTACCCACTGTATATATAATTTTAAATGGCACTGTAAAAATTGGTGTAGAAACAATTTTCACTCAGAAATTGCCATTAAATTTCACAAATACTTACAAAGAAATGGTGTATTAAACTGGAATTTTTAAGCAGAAAAAATTAAATTGTATTTTCTTGTAAAATATACTCTATCAATCTTGTTGTGTTTTTGTAATTTTTATTAGTTTGTTTTAATATGCCTATATAGTTTATTTTTATTTATAGTTTATTTAGTTTTTTCAGTACTTCAACTTAAATGAAACCAAATCGAGAATTGTTGCCTTGTAAATGAAATAAAATGAGTTTTTTTTTTTTTTAAATTAAATTAGAAAAAAAAAAACGGTTAGAAAAAATTTCACTTATAAGTTGCAAGTAAATTTCACAAATATTGACACATTGAATTAAACTATTTTTTGAATTAGAAAGACTGAGATAGTATTATCTAAAACATGTGTTTTTGTCATTTTATTACTTTATGTTTTTTATATGTCTATATAGTTTTTTAATTAAGTTTTAGTTTATTTGGTTTTAGTTATTTTAGTAGTTTAACAAACTACAGGAAATGAGAAATGTTGCCTTGGCAAATAGCGGAAATTAAACTTAAATTAAAGTTTAAGTTTTTTATATGTTATATGTTATTTTATTTATTTAACTTAAGAGTAAAAAAAATATTGGTATAGAGTAGTAACTATTTTCTGTCATATATTTCACAAATAATTACAAAGAAATGGCAAGTAACACTGAATTAAATCTAAAATTTTGAAGTAGAGAAAATGAAATTATATTTTCTTTTAAAACATACTGTAATAATCTTGATGTTGTGTTTTTGTCATTTTGATTTTTTTTTATATGTCTATACTTTTTATTAAGTTTTAGTTTATGTAGTTTTAATTACTTTAGTACACCAACAAATTAAAAATGAGAAATGCTGTCTTTGCAACTCGCAGAAATAAAAAAAGTTTTTTATATATTTTATTTTATTTCGACTTACACGAAAAAAACATTGGTGTAGAAACAATTTTCACTAGAAAATTTTACAAATAACTGCAAAAAAAAAAGGCAAAAAAAATAGAATTTCTTGTAAAACTCTAATAAAATTTGTTTTTTTTTACATTGTACAGCATCAGTAAACATTATTTTCCCTGAACAGGAACTTTATTACATTGACCTGCATGAAAGACATTTGTAAAACATGTTTTCTTCAGAATACTCTTTGGATGATGAGCAGTAGGTTTATCACGAAGGAAACATGAACTCGGAACCGACAGCATTAAAATAATTTACAGTTCTCGATTCTCAACACTAATTCTAATATTTACATTCACAGACACAAAGCAGACGTGTGTGTGTGCGTGTGTGTACAATACACACACACACACTCACTCAGACACACACACACACACACACACTCAACAGGAACTTTATTACATTGACCTGCATGAAAGACATTTGTAAAACATGTTTTCTTCAGAATACTCTTTGGATGATGAGCAGTAGGTTTATCACGAAGGAAACATGAACTCGGAACCGACAGCATTAAAATAATTTACAGTTCTCGATTCTCAACACTAATTCTAATATTTACATTCACAGACACAAAGCAGACGTGTGTGTGTGCGTGTGTGTACAATACACACACACACACTCACTCAGACACACACACACACACACACACTCACTCACTCAGACACACACACACACACTCACTCAGACACACACACACACACACACTCACACACAAATATTTTTCACACACACACACACTCTCACACACACACTCACACATGCACGCACGCTCACTCACTCACACTCTCACACACACACACTCACTCACACTCTCACATATACACACACACACTCTCTCACAAATACAGTCACACACTCACACACACACACACACTCCTGCTCGCTCGCTCACACACTCACTCACACAGTCACACACTCACTCACACAGTCACACACTCACTCACACAGTCACACACTCACTCACACAGTCACACACTCACTCACACAGTCACACACTCACTCACACAGTCACACACTCACTCACACAGTCACACACTCACTCACACAGTCACACACTCACTCACACAGTCACACACTCACTCACACAGTCACACACTCACTCACACAGTCACACACTCACTCACACAGTCACACACTCACTCACACAGTCACACACTCACTCACACAGTCACACACTCACTCACACAGTCACACACTCACTCACACAGTCACACACTCACTCACACAGTCACACACTCACTCACACAGTCACACACTCACTCACACAGTCACACACTCACTCACACAGTCACACACTCACTCACACAGTCACACACTCACTCACACAGTCACACACTCACTCACACAGTCACACACTCACTCACACAGTCACACACTCACTCACACAGTCACACACTCACTCACACAGTCACACACTCACTCACACAGTCACACACTCACTCACACAGTCACACACTCACTCACACAGTCACACACACCCTCTCTCTCACACACACTCACAGTGACACAACTCACACACATTGATCTCTAAGATGACCCTCCAAACACACTTAGAGCAGCTTTAACACGCAGTCTGTCCTACCTACACCATCCACGTGTCTCTGCGCCATTGTTCAGACGATCCGATACAAACAGCGAATCAGAAAAAGCACAACTCCATCTCTCTCTCTCTCTCTCGGTCAGGACTGAGACATGTTCGAAAATATGAGTACACAAGCATAAAAATGTTTTTGAGCACAAACACACTCAGTACTCAGACACACAATCAGAGAAGTACAGGTGCATCCGATCACAGAGCGACACGTGAGAGAGAGCCAGACGGACGAAAGAAAGAATTCCACACGGACAAGATCCTGCGGGATCCTGACAGACGTCTGTCCTCGAGCGGGGAAAGTCCCGAATGAGACGAGAGAGGGACGCAGCGGAGCTTAAATTACGGAGAGAGACAGACCTCGTACACATGGATTTAAATAGGCTTTAAGTGAGCGGCAGAAATAGAAACCGGCTGATATCCACACTGAAGCGCAGAAATATAGACACACAGACACACAGAGCAAAGCAGTGTCAGTGATGTGTGTCTATTAGAAAGAAGAGAAAGATTTCGGTCTGATGTTCACGACTCTATGTGCTGCAAACACACTTTTAACTTGTTATTTATATACTATAATATTCATTAATATTTTTACATTTTCTCTCTCGGTTTTTATTTTAATTTGAGTTAAAGCTTTTATTTTTATATTTTCAGTTTTATTTTAATTTTTGAAAGCAATTTTATTATGTCCTTTTGTTAGTTTTTTATATTTTTATTTAGCTTTAATTAATTTTTTACTTAATTTTTAGTAGGTTTAGTACATAAACTTAACTTTAAGTAAGTCTAATATTTATAATTTATATAATTTATGTTTTATTTAAATACTATTTAATACTCGTAGCTGTTGTTAATAACTGCAACACTGGACGAATAGAGTTTCAATCACGGATCAATTACGACGTTTAGCGCTTTAATGCTCAGAACAGACTGTTGTGATGAAATACTAATAAATCATAATCTACAAAGAATAAATAAAGCGATTAATTTTGTGAGTCTCGAAGTTTCAATAACTACTTTCTTCAATAATAACAATAATTATTGAGTGGAAATTTGATTTCAAGTCAACATTATTTATATAGCGCTTTTCAAAATACATATTGTTTCAAAGCAGCTTTACAGAAAATCATAACGTTAATATTTATAAAATATTAATATCTTCATGCCTTATAGTTGCATTTATCAGATTAGAGCTGAATGATAATTTAATCACATTTTGCAATGATATAAACACAGAGCTGATATTTGCTATAAAGTACATATTTCTTATGAGTGTTGGGAATAAATCCAAATTTATATGTCTTTTTAGTATTTTAATTTAGATTAGAGTTATTAATATATTAATAATAATTTAATTTAAATACTTTTAAGTCGTCCTTCAGAACCCCTGAAATCAATGCATGTGCCGCTGTCCTGTGCTTTGAGTTCACTCTTTTTGTAATATACCACAATCATTTCTATACCTTTATTTTATTCGATTTGATTACTTCCATATTTCTCACGCAAACGTCATCTTCTGTCACCTGTGATCACGTTTCATCTCTGCGCTTCTGCTCGTATGACCATCATCTCTCTTCTGTTACGAGCACAGATCAAATGATCCGGCCATTCTCATCTGTGATGCTCTTCACATGGAGGATCAGAGTGTGTGTGTGTGTGTGTGTGTGTGTGTGAGAGAGAGAGAGAGTGTGTGTGTGTGTGTGAGTACCTGTTTTTCTATTCTGGTGGGGACTTAAACCTGAATACACACGGACTCATGGGGAAGTGTGTGTGAGTGTGCGTGTGTGTGTGTGAGTGTGTGTGAGTGTGCGTGTGTGTGTGTGAGTGTGTGTGAGTGTGCGTGTGTGTGTGTGAGTGTGTGTGAGTGTGTGTGTGTGTTTTACTCACCATCCAGTGATAACCAGTCCAGCTGTGAGCTCGGTAAGGACGAGGCGTTGCGAGCGCGATACTCAAACAGCACTGAGGAGGAGACGGCGCTGGAGTCCTTCAACACGTGCAGAGCGACGAGTCCAGCTTCATGAGCTACACACACACACACAGAGAGAGAGAGAGAGAGAGAGGAAACCGTATATTTAAGACAAGACTCTACAGGCAAAAACCATTTATTTATTTTTTTCATGCACTGGTGTGTTTTGAGATTTTGCTCTTTTTTGCTTCCATATCATGTCTCTTCTTTCAGTCTAGTGGAAAGAAAACATAAAAATACACTATGAAGTGTTTATTTTGTGTTTACTTTGTCTGTTTGCGTCTGTAGATTTCAATCTTTAAAGAGTTTTTTCTCTCACAAACACCACACTTTACAGTTTTATTCCTCTCTATATTCTGAAGGTTTGTTCATATTTCATTCACACTGATTTATACATTTTACTCCTGAAAACATGGTGAAAATGTGTTTGTGTTCTGTCTGTTGACAGTATTTTCTGATTTATGGAGTGATAAAAAGAGAAATCCAGAACCTTCTCTGGAAAAACCTTTAACTCTCAATTCTTTATTTGCATATTTAAAGAAAACCCAATACAAAATGTATTGTAATGTAAAAAAAAATGTCTCCTATTCACTTGTAGTGTCTTTCCGCTTATTTGAAGTTTATGTTTAACTAAAGGAGAATTTGAAAACCCGTCATCTAGACATTAATAAATTGAGATTTTACTGTTTTTATTACACTAAATAAATTGAATGCTTATACACAAAATCTGTGTGACATGGAAAGTCGTCTACAGTAGATGTGTATGCAGTGAGATTGTATTGTTTTGCTCTTCAGTTGAACTGGCTTCCCTCTTTCAGACTGAATGTGTTCTCTAAAGCTGTGAGCGCCTCCGTCTGGCTGTGTGTGAGACTGACTCTGACCGCAGGTGTGTGTGTGGTGTGTGTGTAGAGAAGCAGGAACTCTGCTCTGGTCAAACACACATGAGTATCGGCTGTCTGTCTCTGACCACGGGCCTGTGATCAACACCTTCACTCCGCCCTGAACCACGGAGAGTAAACCAGGGTTATTAACGCAACCCAAAACCATAAAAACATTCTCGTCACTTGAAATCAAAGAATATAAAAAAAGGGTTTCGTTTTAGTTGAAATTTTTGTTATTTTGCTAATAATTTGGTTATTTTGTTTGTAATAAAATAACACCAGCGTTATATTTTGAATTAGTTTTTATTTTTATATTTTCCATTTTTATTTTAATTTGAGTTAGTTTTAGTAATTTTGCTTTTATTTTTTTGTCATCAAGTTTTTTTAATGTCTATATAAATTTTATTTATTAATTGACTAATATTCAACTAGCTGAAATAAAAAAGTTTAAGTTTGAATATATTTTATATTTTCATTTATCATTTTCACTTAGTTTACTAAAGTTAACTAAAAAAATAAATTATATACATGCCGTAGGTAATCACAGCGTGCTGATAATCAGCCATATCTCACGTCTATGAGTGTGATATTGTGTTTATACAACAGTTCGACGCCACGAGTGTGTAAATATATAAGAAAAACAACAACAGTGTCTTTAAAAAACCTTTTGTGCAGAACTTCTTCCTTCCGCCAGATTCAAATCTCAGTTTGACAATTTAACAGCTGAGCTCAAGATCAGTAACTAATTCGAAAACGTCACTTTAAAACTAGTAACGAAGGAGGAACGTTGAGTTGCTTCATTAAAAGCTTATTGTATTACTGTATTAAAAGCTCACTGTATTATGAAGAGTATTATGAGAGAGAGATGGACTGAGCGAGTGTGATTACCTGCATCTGATACAGCATTCATTCTTCAGCTCAGTCTCATATTCACAATAAAACATTAGTCTGAATGTCCGCTGAGGAAAGCGATATCTTTGTCGTACTCTCCTTTCATCTATTAAAGGTGATTTCCGATGACAGCGCTGCTCAGTGCATTTGTTAACTGCGTCTTACAAGCTGTTGTTAAAAGTAAAAAGAACTTCCGTTTCAGTCTCTTTCAATATAAAAGTCTTTACTGCCAACTTGTAAAACAGTCTCTTGTCGCCATCTAATGGCGGAACAATGTCACAAAAATCACCATCATGAACACACACACACACTGTTTCTCAATACTAAATACTACTATGAATATAAAATAGTATTTATTGAATAATAAACAACAACAGCCATAATAAAAGTTGCTAGACAATTCAGTCAAAAGTACAAAGGCAGCGCTCTGATATAAAGCATTAAAATTACATAAAATATAACGTGATGAGATTTTGCTCTCAGCTAAAACTATTTGCTCTGGAACAAATAAAAATTAATGACACCAAAGACTGCCCGTTACAATTACCCCAAATGAATTATATCTCATGTTTAACCACTATAGAGACATCAGAGCCAGCTGTGATTTCCAGAAGATCTGGCCGAGGTGAGGCTGCTCTCTGCAGGTTCATGAGCGCTGAACGGCCGTTGACGCCCTGGAGCTCACATCTCCCAAAACGTCGAAGCAAATTTTCAAATAGATGTTTATCTTTATTAACAAACCACATATTTGAAGTCTAAACAAGTACATTCTCGCCTAAAAAAAACTCTTAAAACTACATTTGGGCGTCCGCCATGACACTCGCTGTGAGAAATACGGGAAGCGGAGTGATACAAATGGTGAAACGGTTGGAGTGCTGTTATCACTAGAATATTGCACCGTTGGAAAAGGCTCTCAGCCAATCAGATTCGAGGACCAAAAAGAACTGTTGTGTGTATATATGTATATATATATATATATATATATATAACTTTTATAGTATCTCAATTATACTAAAATAACACTGGTGTTGTTAACCAAACGAAACACAAGCACAAAAACACATTTTATAATCAGAACAGAACTTTTGTTCTTCTACTACAAATAGTCTAGGGCTGCACGATTAATCGTATGTGATAGTCATGCGCATCTCGTCAGTAAAGCCGGCTCTGTGATTAGTAGTAAATCTCCAGCACGTGCTTTCAGATGGAGCGGCATTTACTACACGAGCCGTAGTTCACTGACAAGCTACGCAAAATAAATTGCAGACGATATGATCGCGCGATTATGAAATCGAAGAAATCGTTCGCGATAATGAAAGCTGTTTGCGTAGCTTCTCAGTGAACTACGGCTCTGTGAAGTAAATGCTGCTCCATCTGAAAGCAGGTGAAAATACCACATTTAATAACATGTTTTTACTCCAAACTCACTTCATAACGTCAGTCAAGTGTTTGAAATAAATCCTTCTGTGAGATGATGTAGCTTCTTAAACGGAATAAGGCACACAACATATTTCATAGTATTCTAAGCAGTGATAAAGGCTATGTCGATTAGCATTGCATTATAGATAAACTTTATTTTAATGAAAATTATAATAAGACCTCAGATAAACCATATATTGCCGTAGTCGTGTGTTTATTAGTCACACTGAATCAACGAAAGCATTTAAATCTTCTGTTTATTCAGCAACCGCAGGGTTTCTTCTGTGAGGCGTATTTGGAGTTTCAGGGCGAGAGCGCCCTCTGGCCTTCGGATGGAGATTTACTGCTGATCACAGAACCGTGCTTCACTGAAAGATACGCATGACAATAGCAGCTTCTGCCTAATCGTGATTTCAATTTCATTTAGATTTATCGTGCAGCCCTAAAATAGTCCATGCTTAAACTTCAGAAAATAATGTTTGTTCACTTAAAAGACTTAATATATAGATAACAGATGTGAAGATTCATACCTCCGGGTACGACCACTCGGGTGAGAAGTCCGTGATGTTGGCCAGCTGCTGGGTTTGTTCCGGTGAGCAGTTTGTAAGGAGCAGGAAGGGCAGGAACGAGGTGGACGGTGTCGGCTGAGGCGGAACCATGTACCTGACGGGGTAAACGGGCGGAGCCAGGGTGGGAGGGTGGCTGACGGGCTCCTCTGTGATGAGCTCAGATATGAGGTCGGGGAAGGCGGAGTCAAACGTCAGCCCCGCCTCCTCGCCGTCGATATGGTCACAGTGGGTGGTGTCCATGGGCGTGACGTCTGATTCGAAATGTGCTTGAGTGGGCAGAGACTGCTCCTCCTTCACTTGAACGGGACTCACGCTTGGGGGCGTGGCCGGGGGCGGGGTCAGATTTGGTGGTTGAATGCACATGGGGTGCGTTTCTAGAGGACAAGGGTGCTGTGACTCAGCCTTTTCTCCCTCTGTAGGCAGCTGATTGGTCGGCAGCACTTCGAGGGAGGGTGTTATCTGGGTCATCCTGTTGACCTGATTGGTCAGTAGATGACCAGGCGGGGCTTCAGCGTTGAATCCGGTGGGAGGAGCTCTGTTGTCGGAGGGAGGGACAGACAGTGGGGGACTCAGCGAATCGAGTCCTAATGACGACTCCAGACACAACGGGAGCAGCGCGGGAGTCGTTCGCGTCGGAGAGAGCGAAAGAGACAGGGAGACTGGACTGGAGGAGGGACGACCCGGAATACTCTTCCTTTCCGTCTCAGAAGAGAGGGAGGATAGAGACGACGGCGGAGACGTGGGAGAAAGAGACAGAGCGAGAGACGGGGGCTGAGGAGATGTAGAAAGAGGCGGAGACGGGGAAGAGGAGGCGGAGTGGGATGTGAGGGCGGGGCCTCCGTAGGTCTGCCCCTGTTTGGGGCAGTTGAGAAAGGAATCGGGGTCAAACGGGAGCAGCGAGGGCGAGGGAGACGTTGGGTTTGGGTGCAGGAGCATCCCGGGGGTGTCTGGGACAATGCGGTCGGTCAGCAGCAGTCCTCCAATCACAGGGCTGGGCAGGAGAGTGAGTGACAGCGTGGCCACGCCCTGATTGGGTGGGGCAGGGCTCGGTGGGGAGGCGGAGCTTGGCGGGGAGGGCGTGTCCTGTTTGGGCGGCACAGGAGATAGAACGAGCCGCCCGCCGGTGCGGGTGAGCGACAGTCGTGTGGAGCCTAGCTTGCCCTTTGGCTCCTCCCCACAGCCACGCCCCACCAGTGCTGCCGTCGTCATGACGATGAGCGCATTCTGCGGCAGCGCCACCGCTGCCAATCCGCCCCGCTGGTCACCGTAGAATCCGTTTCCGTTGCTAAGAGCGATTGTCGCCGCCCGCTGCGTTTGGGGCGGACTCGAGGAGGACGAGGAAGAGGCGGAGCACGGTGAAGCCCCGCCCCCAGTGTCCTCGACCCGCCCACCATCTTCTGGCGCACCAGAGAGCTGCTTCCTCTCTGAAGGCATGACAGCGACTAAAGCATCGCCCGGGCCCACCTCTAGCCCCGCCTCCGCTCCGGAGCCCTCATTGGCCAGATTCTGCAGCTCGCTGAGGGCGGGGTGAGGGGTGGGCAGTTTGGGTGAGATGATGCGATGTTTGGTGCTGTTGCAGCGGTGAGGAATGTTGGATCCGGGAGATGCTGCGGGAAACACGTCACACATGGCAAATCAATGACCCTGGGGTTTATTTCCTCAAAAACAAGCTTGTAAATACAGTATTATTGTGAAACATCATTACAACTTAAACTATGTGAATATGAATATATCGTGAAATGTAATTGTGTGTGTCTGTCTGACTGTGAGTGTGTGTTTGTTTTGTGTGTGAGTGTGTGCGTGTGTGCGTGTGAGTGTGTGTGTGTCTGACTGTGTGTTTGTTGTGTGTGTGTGTGTCTGACTGTGAGTATGTGTTTGTTGTGTGTGTGTGTGTGTGTGTGTGTCTGTGTGTTTGTTGTGTGTGTGTGTGTGTGTGGTTTGGTCTGTTGTGTTTCTAGGATCTGTTGCACCATCTGCTCCACTGAGAGCTCGACAGAACCGTTGCCTTCACAAGACCATTTCATACTGTGGACTAAACCCACACACAAACACAGATATAGAGTCTCAAATGTTCTGATGATCAAACGCTGAATTATTGAAAATGTAACGCACACACTGAGTGATTTGAGGTTTTTTGCATTAAATTTTCAACTCTTCAGCGGTCCGGTGTCAATTATTCTGCCTGTACCACAGCGACCGCATTTTTGCAGCACTCTCATATGTAACAGATGAAATACTGTACTTCCCGAAGAGGCCATTCTGAGATAGATTCAGATCAGGCGTGTGATTGGTGGTTTGCTCGTGCTGCAGGCGTGTGATTGGTCACTCACACATGGGTTTGAGTTGAGACAGCAGTTCGTCTTGGCTCCAGCGCAGAGTGTCCCTGCGGTCGGTCAGAGCACACGACTTCACACTGTCCTCCAGCGACGGCACGTTCAGATAGTGCACGAGAACAATGTCTGGGTTCTGAACACACACACACACACACACAAATAAACACACACACACGGGTCAGTTAAATTTTCTAATAAAACACTGTCATATTTTTTTTTTAATAAAACAGTGTCATTAAATTCAAATAATTGTAATAAACAAAAAATTAAACAAATCATAAAAATGTAAAATAATTAAAAAATAAAAACTATTAATGTAATACACGTACTACTACTAAAAATAAATAAATCTGAAAAAATTTAAATCTATTTAAAAAATAAATGAAGAAATAGTTTTAGAATAAAAATAATGAAAATAAAACACTTACTAAAAATGCATTAAATCATGAAAATGTTTATTTAAAATAAATAAAAAATTTTACAATAAAAGCAATTAAAATAAAACACTTACATTTTAATCACAAACATTTAAAAATGAAATAAAAAAAGAGTTAGAGAATATAAAATAAAATGTACTAAAAAATTAAGTTATAAAATTAAAAAATTAAAAATATAAAATTAAAATAAGGAAAGTTTTTAAAATAAAAACAATTAATATAAACCTACTAAAAATTTATGAAATAAAAATGTAAAACTGACAAAAATAAATAATTTTAATGCAAAAAATTATTAAAATAAAACACTACAAATGTATGAAATCATAAAAAATGTAAAATTGAAATAAAGAAATAGTTTTAAAATAAAACAACTTAAAACAAAACACTTTCTAAAATTAATAAAATCATCAAAATGTAAAATTGAAATAAAGACATGATTTAAAAATAAAAAATTTAAATAAAACTAAAAAATGTCGTTTTATAATTAAAATTTAAAAAAATATTTTTTTCAGTTTTTATTTTAAATGACCTTTTTTAAGTTAATTCTTTTATTTCATGTTCACTGTAAACACTGTACAATGCTAACGTAATGCATAGATGCTGTATAAAATTATTTCTATTACTACAATAACTTCTTTGACATGCACAGATCCTGGCTTCTCATTGGCTAGATTAGTGTCACATGCTCATAATAACTAACCTGCAGCAGCCAATAGCATCTCCTGTGGAATGTTGGGACGATGGAGGAATGAACATAACAACCGTAAAGACACTGCAGGAGCAGAGAGGGAAACGTATGAGCGTCACATCATCACACACACACACACACACACTCACACCCACTAACTCACACACACACACACACACACACACCTCCATGCCCTGAACCTTCAGTTTCATGTGATCCTCTCTGGTCGTCTTTCCGTCCTTCCTCTTCTTCCAGCAATATCCATCTTTCCGGTATTTGACCTTCTTGCGATTGTACAGGATGACTGAACCGTTCTGTGGCCTGTGTGTGAACACACGAACATCAATCGTGCCAGCATCAATGTAATTCGCCAAATTAATCAGAAACGAGGAATACAATCAGACAGCTTAACCTCGTTTCAAAATATTCAATATTCACTAGATGCATACAGGCAGTTAATGTACAGCCACTGTACATTTAATTCATTAACTTTCAAATAAAATTAACTTGTGAATCATATTAAATAGGATAATGATGAGAATCTAAGTTTTTATTGCTATAACTGTCGTCAGGTGTGAGTTACAATGTTTCTCGTCCTCAGCATTTCAGATTGAACTGCTGCTGATATTTGGACATTATCTTGTCATTTTTCTGTTTTTCTGTGAAAATGAAATTAAATGCGATCACACAACTGACCTGGTCTTAAGCATGCAAGAAAGCCACTCGTCATGTCTGTCGAACGAAATCAGGAACGATGCAATTTCCTGAAACACACACACGAAAATTTACACTATCATTTAGGAGCCATTATAAACCAGCTGTTTTGATCAGAGTTATTGTTCTTAACTAAACTAAAAAAAATAAATAAATAAACATTTTCATTACTAAATAAATAAACATAAATAAAATAAACTTCTTTTATTTCAGCTAGTTACTCTTATTTTCGTTTAGATTAACTAAAATAACTAAAACTAATACTAAAAAAATGCATAAAAAAAAAATAAAAAAAATCTTGAAATTCAATTACTAAAACTTTAACTCAAATTATACTTCTAAATAAAAGCAAATTAAAGATTACAATTATAAAAATGTCAAATTAAAATGAATAAATTAAAAATAAAAACAAGTAAAAAATAAAACACTAAAAATGAATAAAATCATAAAAATGTAGCACTGAAATAATTGTAAAAGTCAAGTCACCTTTATTTGGATAGTGCTTTATTCAATACTGATTGTGTCAAAGCAGCTTTACTTTTTTGTTATTTGAAATGAAATAAACGTTAACGGACATACAACAGAATATTAAAACACTTCAACTAATTTTTATTTCATCTTTTTGCCACTGCAGAAAGTACAGAAACTTAAGACAAAAACAACAGACATATTTAAACAAAACATGACATATGAAAATAGAAACTAATTTGAAATACACGCACCTCGTTGGTGTTCCAGCGCAGTCTCTCTTTGGGGAAAGTGGTGGTGCGAGGCAAACACTCCAGCAGCTTATTGGGTAAGAAGGCTTTCATCTGACCGCTGGACTCTGTTTAACACCAAACACGGGTCAGAATCACACATCACTGGAGTTATCATGATTCTGACTGATACTGATCATGAAGAGTGCGTGTGTGAGAGAGTGTGTGTGTGTACTGTGTGAGTGTGTGTGTGTGTGAGAGTGTGTGTGTGTGTGTGACTGTGAGAGACGGACCGGACTCAGTCGTTGCGTCCTTGTTGTTCATGGTGAAGTTCACACACTCCTCCGGTCTGCAGGAGGCAGTCACATGATCCAGGGAGGACGAAACTGCGACACTGACAGGAAATTAAATAAAAGTTAACAGAAATAAAATAAAGTCTAAAAAAACCACACACATTTTATTTCAGCTAGTTGCCAACATTTCTCATTTTACTTGATGTACTAAAATAACTAAAACTTATAAAAAAATAAAATAGATAAAAACTAGAGACATGATCTGTAAAAATAAGCAGAATTAAGATTTATATTTGCATCTTTTCACTGAGCTGAACGTCAGAGCGTTATGATGTGATTACAAAACATTACAAGCATCAAATCAAATGTACTTTCCCAGATTGTGTCCATGGTTATGAATGATTCATTAGTTATAAACCAAGTAAAATTAAAAAAAAGACATTGAAGTAGAAATATTTCTAAAAAAAATTCTAAATACTAAATTCAATCAAATATATACACTACCTGTCAAAAGTTTGGAATCATTAAGATTTTTTACATGATTTTACAGATGTATACATTATCATTTAAAAGTTTAGAAGAAACAATAAAAAAAAAAGAAATTAATACTTTTATTCGTCAAGGATGCATTCAATTGGTCAAAAGTGACAGTAAAGACATTCATAATGTTACAGTAGATTTCTATTTCAAATAAATGCTGTTCTTCTGAACTTTCTATTCATCTGTGAATCATGAAAAATAAAATGCATCACAGTTTCCACAAAAATATTGTGCAGCACGACTGTTTTCAACATTGATAATAATCAGAAATGTTTCTTGAGCAGCAAATCAGCATATTAGAATGATTTCTGAAGATCATGTGACACTGAAGACTGGAGTAATGATGCTGAAAATACAGCTGCGCATCACAGAAATAAATTACAGTTTAACAGATATTCACATAGAAAACAGCTGTTTTACATTATAATAATATTTCACAATTTTACTCTATTTTTAATCAAATAAATGCCTTGGTGAGCAGGAGAGTCTTACTTTAGCAACATTAAAAAACAATAAAAAATCTATATTCTTTCAAAAACATTATATATATTTCTTTTTTTTTGACTGATAGTGTATGTTGATTCATGAACCACATAAAATGCAGAAACACTGAATCAGCAGCTGCGGTGGATGTGATTTCAAACACATACACGCACACACGCACACAAACACACTCACTCACACACACGCACGCACGCACGCACGCGCGCGCACACACGCACACACACACACACTCACACACACTCACTCACTCACACACACAC